CACGAAAATAAGATTTACACAAATTATTTTTTTTCGGTTCGACAGCGAGTCTCATTAGGTATTTATCTTATCTGGAGAACCATTGAAGTCTAGGGTCGTCTGAATACCTATTTTTTATACTAGTTAAGGGACTCTACATCAGTGGGCTTCTACTACCCCATATCCAGTCAGGTCAAAAACTTTATGTTTCTCAACGAACACGATGCCTTTAGGACGGTTTTTGTGAAAAGTCGTGATTGGTGAATTTCATCCATGCCTTTTGTAAGATAGGTTTCATCGAATGTCGTTGCAATCTATCAGATACTGAATAGAGTTAGAAATATGAACCATTTGACTGTAACTCACTGACCTAAAGGTATTACTTTTGCCAAAGTACTGAAGGCTCCGTAATTCGATTCCCCGCAGGTTCGTATATGTGCATTGTTGAAACAACTATCCATTACTTCATGATTTTCAGTTTGTGATAAAAACTATCTGAAAACTGAAATGATCTTCACAACCAACCAATTCATTTTTTAGAATTATAACCGTAAACGCGTCTACATTCTATAAATAATCTTGAAATTTACATAATTAGCTTTTTTCTTTATTTCTAGTTCACAACAAAGAATCAAATATTTTAGGCATTGATTATCAAACTGAAACTCAACAATCGACAACAGAACCAACAGATTTAAGTTTAGCTATGCTGTGTCACAGAATCAGTCGTTTACAGACCGAAGCAGAAGCTGTGGCCAAAGCAATCTCGGTTAATAATCATAACAATAGCGCTTGTATCAGAAATGAACAATCTACGAATGATTTACCGATTATCGATCAACAGTTTGCTAGTCCAGTAGATGAAGCACAGTCACTCCGAACCGATTCAAATAGTCGTACAATGAATGAAATACAAATTCGTCATTCACCGGGAAAATCTGATGAAAGTCTCGGTAGATCAGTCAGTAAAAATGAACAACCAAGTCAATTAGACAATGTTGATAATCATAATATTTATGATCAAGGCGATACTTGAAATAATCATATAAGTGAAAAAGTAATGGTTGAGTAAGCTGGTATTTCGATTTTTCACATATATTTGTTTACATAATTATATACACCTCGCTAATTGATTTTGATTGTGAACCGTTGGGTTTGGAGTCTATAATCTTAAGATAATAATCCTCTTGGTATGAGGTCCGACTCCCGTTGTGACGTCATAGGCATATAATCAAAGGGTCTTAGACTAAGACGAATCAGATGTCAGTGCTTTTGCTTTAAATGACTCCTAGTTACTATCAGTTCATAGCGGAATGAAAAGTTAATATGTGCATCACTAACTGGAGTATTTAAAATCAGGATATAGAGCACCAGTACAGTAATTCATTCTTTGATGGTAATGAATTTTTCGAATATGCTCCCTGTTCTTCATATACACAGGTTTATCTCACTGATTACCATTGTTTTTAGTCTTAGGTATTTGTTTAATATAGATTTTAAATACGGAACAGCTTCTGGATCAGGAATCAAGTTTGGGTTGTCAGAAGACAGAACCTTTCCACTTAATTTAAATAAAACATGACCGAAGATTAATGGACTGCTACGAGTATTTTATCTCTCAGATGATTTGGAGCGAATTTCAAATGAAACAAAATAAGTTTGGATGAAATTCGTGCTAAAATAAAGAAGAAATAGTAGTTAATCGAGCTTTGCCTCATTTTTTTTCCTTATTTTAGCGTATATGTGTACTAATAATGTATGTAAATTTACTATCTATTATTTCTTTGTTCACCTTTTATTATCTCCCAGTAGATGAATTAATACTCAATCTAGATGAACAATGACAGATTTCCGATTTTCTTTTGACTGTGTTCAGTGCATTATCCATACAACAGTGGCCAAAAACAGAATTTCACCCAAATATTATCATCAATATGATTTATTATTATTCTTATCATGCTTCAGTCTAACATAAACTTCTTCTGACAACTGTGTGCTGGCAAATGATTTAGCTGGAACAGTTCTCTTTCCATTGTTCACATTTGATCTTTTGTTTATGCAGTAAATGTTCTTTGCATAAATGCTATCACCATTATGGTGTTCTGATATGGATAGTTGTAGGATTCAAGTTAACTATATTTTTTTTCGGCTTTTTCTCGGTCTATCGATGCTTTTGATATTTCACAAAAAGACTTTTGACAATAATAACTTCAATGACGTGCGTTTATACCTGTGTTCAAACAATTGTCATCTTTTTCTTTAACCAATTTAAATTGTTAACTTTTGTGTATCTAATCCGTTATAATGATTTGAGCCTATGATGAAAATAGGCATGACTCAACGTACCCAGTTAAAAAAAAGACCTTTGAGTGTAGTACTCGATATTCAATGACTGGATAGGGTTTGGAATGAGGCGAACTATATTCAACCAAATCCCCAGGACATGAAGTTTCATGTGCTTGTTAATTTCATTCATATATATGTAACCCGATTGTAGTCAATCGTTCGATCAGAGAACCCATCCAACTCCGTTTTAGCTTCTTACGGTTTAAGATGGAATGCCTTAGCGACTAAAGAAAAGCTATATCAATCAAATGTTTTGTAGAAAGTGTCTTAAGTCCCCACCCTCTAACTGAAACTGAAATAATGAGAGGAACAAGCAATGTCTAAACTTATTATGATAAACAGTAAATTTGTTACACTATCTAGTGTTCAAATGAGGCTTATGTCCACTTAGTACAAGTCAGAGATATTCTCGTAAACATAACCTAAGGAGCCATATTGTGCAACAACGTTGTTCAGCTGTTAGCGCAATGACCTTCCGCTCAAAAAACTTGAGCATCTGAATAACCGTGAGTCTCAAAATAGATGACCAACAAAACATTTTGCTATACCTTATTAAAAGAGACGACGCTCCTTCGTAATCTGAAGCAAATCTAATATTACAAAAAACTACTATTAGTAACATATTTGCTGACTAACAAATAGTGATTCAAAAGGTTTGCGAATCAGCGAAACTCTTCAAAACTTGTTGATACGACAAGACTAATTTTAAAAACTTCAAGCGGAGTGGGTTAGCTGCAGTAAGAGATAATCATCGTAATAGTTAACAAACCGAACAGTCAATAACCATTTACAATTAGAAGTGATCAAAATCGCTGAAGTCACGAAAGGTTTTGAACCAAGAAAACGTCTACCTCTTCGTGAACGCTAGGAATCACTAATGTTTGAGAAATTCATAAGCACTAGTAAAATATTTCAGACGGCGGTATAAAAACCAAAATGTTTCTCTAAGAGTACTAAGTTGAATGACCCTGAAAGATGAAAAAAACGTGCGTTAGTCATAAGAACAACGGAAACACACATAACCACTCATGAGCCCCATCCCACTCACCATGTTCAACTAACCACCGGACGTTGAATGTGAAACACACGCTTAAACACGTAACACATTAAAACTATTCATTGAGCTTTTAACAGCATATGTTAATAATCAACTGAGGACTGCGAAAAACCAGGGACGAAGCATGAGGGCTTACACCGAATTACTTCCTGTAAGAATATTATCGCTCACCAACAGATATACTACACATTCAGCCAGGTCAGCGTAAAAGATGACAGAACGTCAGCTAATCCTACCGAGTGTCGTACATTCAGTTTGTTGTTGATTGAATGAAGGCACCTCGCTGTTGTTGTATGGATACAATGTGCATTGTCAACTCCTTTCGCTGAGGGCCTGGTAACAAGGCGTCCATAAAGTGACGACGAGAACCCCGTGTTTGTGGACTTCTAGTAATTGGTATTGCACTCGATTCTGCCGGAGACCAAAGTTTGTGCTACTGTGGGAGAACTTACTATTCTCCCGAAGCTTATATGATAAATGTCGTGCTAATTTTTCGAAAATTGACGCGACTTGGACATCTTCCTGGATTCCTATTCAATCTATCTTTTTTCAAAGGGATAGAGGAAACGGTGAACTGATGACTTAGACCTGTAGTGGGATAATTCCACCAAATCCTAAGTCCTGCGTAATCAAAGGTAGCCGATGTTGAGGTAAGGGCATTTTATAGTATATAAAGCCGGAAAATCGTACGTTCTAACACTAACTCACTATCCCCTTCACCACAGATGTGGGACTATTCTCTTAGGGAGTGAAGAGCATCACTAGGCTCATAATCTTCTCTCAGAAAACCACAGCCCAAATTTCGTTAGCATCCAAAAGACCTGCTTATACCGCAATACCGACGTACGGCAAACCAGGTCAGCGATTTTAAGCACTCTCATATCTATCGGTTAGTCACATGTGTGATCAGAACTCTTGAAACACTATACTACTTGCGAACTCTATCTTCCCAATGAAGGTCGGTCGGCAAAACATAGACACCGCGTACATACCTTGTGGGAGAACATGCGCCATGACTTTGCGCTCATTTCGGTTCATCTGACACGACATCTAGGTACCCTAATTGTGTATTAGTGGCGGCCCTGGGTGACATTCTGGATAACTCAAAACTAGGACAGATGCACTAATTTGCCTGACTCCCGAGCCATATTACTTCGAAATTACAAGTGATTAGTTATAACTATCACAGTAAGTAGGCGGACAATTTCCAACCACTAATTATAACACTGTTGGTTTGTTCGCATTCGATGAGTTGCTCGAGAGAAACCAGTACACGACAAAATGAAATTCAGGTCAGTCATCATCTCGAAAGTCCTGATCAAACAAAATTACGTTTCATAAGCGAAGTTTGGTTAAGGCACTAAAACCCAACCCCACTTCCTTATATGTATATATATTTGGTTGGAATCGACTTATTCCAGCATAACCTCGACTCTATCCCGCTACTTTACACCTCACTGTGTTCTGTAAAAAACCGCGTATGAAGTGAAGTGTATATTAGACTACAACATTAATGAATTTCCAACATGAATATTTTAATGTTTAAAGTCATATGTACGTTAATAAAAGTATTTGCACGGCGCACCAGTAAGGAAATCCCTGAAAAATACCAGGATATTTAGTCCTCATCTGAAGAGGACGACTCCGAAGGGCTGGCATTTCCTGGACGGTGAATTACGGCTGATGTTATTCGGGGTCCTTTTGAGCTGCCGTACCCACGAACTGGCTCTCCTCTGGCTGGGCTGCGATCTCGTCTTTGATCTGTTCGTTCGAAGCGGTCATTTCTACCAAACTCGCGTGACCCGCCTCGATTAGCTGGAGCACCTTGGAAACGGTTTACATCTCTTTCGCCTCTGCCTGAATTGTAGTCGAACTGCCTACCTGAAACCAAAAAAAGAAAATAGTTACACTGCCTGTCATAATGGAACAACTAAACCAGTTAGTTGCCTGACAAAATAAACTTACCTTGTTTGTTGTAGTCACGTTGACCACTATAATCACGCTGATTGTACTCACGTTGATTGCCATCTCTCTGGTTACCGTTTTCACGCTGGTTGGTGTGATCTCGATTATTGAAATTACGCTGGTTGTAGTCGCGTTGATTACGTTGACCGTATTCTCTTTGGTCACGATTATAAGGGCGCTGATTGTTATAACTCGGTTGTTGATTGTGCTCCTGGTCTATAATGAACATCACATACAATGTATGGGCAATCCTTTACCTCTCTGGATTCGTCCACGTACAGGCCTACCGCCCATCATCTTATTTCCGCAGGAAGTAAGAGCGGCGCTGCACTGGTCGGAATTCGAGAAAGTCACGTGAGCAACACTACAAACAATTGAAAGTTCAAAAATAAAATTTACCCTCTGGAACGTCCCTGCTCGTCTAACGAAAGTGCCACTCGGAGGGCTTCTGGGAACTCGCGCATAATATCTCTTTCAGATGCTGTATAGGGAAGATTTGACACGGTGAGTGTACAAGAAGCGTTGGAAGAACTTTCACTATCAGTTCTACTATGCGGATCATATGTGGGCTGGCTGTACTCATTATCGGCATGTGAACGTCTGAAATCCCTGGAATTGCCTCCATAATGCTGGCTGACATTTAAATTTTCTGACGAACTGGAATGATAATCTGAAATATATAAACTGAGTGATTATTAAAGAGTTTTTGAAATAAGTCCAATGATTGTACGAGTTTTAATGACCAACTCACCTCCGTTGAGTTCCGCCTGCAGCAGCTGTCCACCAATTTCTTTTCCTTGAAGGCATTCATCGTAGGCTTGTTGACAGTCGCGAGCATTGTTGAATTGCAAGATGCACATGCTGTTTCACATATGAAACAGAAAAAGAGAGCAAATATGGAGCGATCAATGGGAAGCGAATAAGCTTTACTAAAGACCCCGTAGGCAGATCTTTCGAGTAACAAATTTCTACCTCCATCGAAAGTGTTCGGGTCGACCTTCCTGCATTTCACTCCATCGCAAATAGTACCACCTGCTCACATTACAGGAATGGGTCAATGTGGCACACCTGCGTCGCCAGTAACAAAAGGTAGAAAGGTAAAAGATCGGAGTCAGTTCTTGTTAACGTACTAACGGAACATCATTAAAATGCCTAGCTTCACCTTTGGACATTTAACTTGCCAAACAAAAATATCGCAGACTGTCGAACCTACTGTGGTACTGCTCATAAAACGGAGTGAATTAGATCTCTTATGTCGTTAAATGTGCGGTAACAAATCAATTTGTAGGGAGCAAACTGTACTCACCCTTTAGTTTGCGAAGACACAGAATGACTTCGTACGAAGTTGACTGACCTAGCCGAAGGGAATACCGACTGAACTTCTGTTTCGTCTGCCGAGGTGGGTAGATTGTATACGGCCAAAGAAGTGGCTTGACCAGACTGGTATGCTTGTGTCAATGACATGCTTCTTAACTAAAAACAGAAGTACTCATCAAGGACGGAAAACAAACTATCAGAGAAATCAGATTCATTTACAAGGATTTATTTGCAATTTGAATTTACAGAGGAATCAAGTTTTTTAATCAGAACCACCGCGTTTTGACCAGCCCCCACGGTTACCACCACGACCACGGAAAGACTGGCCACCACGACCGTGAGGCGACTGACCACCGCGGCCGCGAGACCGACCACCACGACCACGAAACGAGTTGCGCTTGAAATCACCACCAAATTTGTGCTGCGCTTTGAAGTTGCTTTGGTCTCCTGAACGATTGTCTGCTTTCGGAAACCCACCAGTTTTTTTGTCGTGTAAGCCAGAAAACTGCTTCTTCTCCTTGCCTTTAGGTGAGACCATATCAACGTCCTCGTCACTTTCGTCTTCACTCCCATCCTCTTCTTCCTCGCTTCCATCTTCACTTTCATCGTCTTCGTCACTGTCGTCGCCATCTTCACTTGTATCTTCGTCCTCTTCGTCGTCATTCTCATCTTCAATGTTATCTGCGTCATTCACCTCCTCTGCCTTTGAAACTTTGTGAGCAGCCTTGACCTTCGAAACACCTACTTCTGCAGCTATAATGAACACAAAAAACCATTAGAAAGACAGCACAATTGCGAACAAACATGCAAAACAAACCGAAACAAACTCACGTTTAGCTTTCTTCTCAGGTGGTCCAGAACGCTTCTGTTGATTGTTAGCACAATCATCAACAAAGACATCTGAAAGAGAAATACGGGCTAGTTTAGTGAGGCGAAAACTCAATAGATTGAAGCGAAAATCCTAGTAAGTTGGTGTCTGGATGACATGTAATGCGAGCAAATCAAAACTTCCGACGTAAAATTATAATTATCATCCTACATACCTTTTAAAAATATTGTCACGCGACGACCTTTCAGAGTTGCGTTTGAGGAAATTGCATTATTACAATCTGCAGCGGTTTCAAACTCGACAGTCATGGATCTGAAATAAGGCAATACACTGTCAGACGTTACAAACAAACTGATCTAATCAAAATGAGATAAAGGCAATAACAATTTAGTTTCAAAGGCAGCTATCAAGATATCAATATACTTACGCACTCTGGTTCCCAGTAGTTGTATCACGTGACACTGAAACGACGCCACCAAATAATCCTTTGATGTCTGATTCTTTTGTGTCAGCTGGAAAACCCCAAACGATGGCAGTTTTGAGCTCTGGTCCTCCTGTTAATGCCAGTTTCAGCTGTTTACCGGCATGAAACTTTGGCTGTGAGACAGCAGCCTTTCGGACTTCCAAGGAAGGAAATTTAAGAAATGCCTTTCTGTATGAAGAAGAAAATGTAAGATCGTTAGTAACTGACGCTAAATAACCTAAGTGAGTGACTAGTTTAAGAAATGTTTGGACCAATTCGCTGAAAACTAACTTTACTCACCGTTTTTTCTGAATCCACTGAACGTCTAAACATGTCGGGAATAGCTTACGCAACTGGTTCGGATGACCATCCCAATTCGAAACTGCGACTCTTACGGAACCATCAGGACCAGCTCCTAAAGGATGCCAGTTAAATGACTATTGACTATCAATACTTACGAGGCTGTTGATCTTTAGCGAAGTTAGCTTTGAACAATTGACCTTCCACAGTTAAAGAACTGAAAATCTGGTGAGCTTGCTTAGCCGCATCAATAGAGGAGAAGGATATAAATGCACTATTGATTTTAGGGTTTTTATTCAGCAAATTTAAGGAAACAGGTTGACAGTTGTTGGGGAGATGACTTTTTAGTTGTTCCTGGAATAATACAATGTTTAGAAAGAAGTAACTTACAATTGTCAGGGATTTTGGAATTCCACCTACGAACAAAGTTTTGGTGGGTTGCATTCCTCTATTGGCGTCATCGACTCTATCTACAGGTATTACTTCGAGCTCCTTCCCTTGAAACATCAACTTTCCTGACTTTAATCGACTTTTGAAAATGCTTATATTAGCGATGGTAGCCATTATGGGTGCTGGTTCCATCCTGCTTATGCTGGTCACTGGGCTAATTTTGGAAAGGAATTCTTTCAAACTATCCAAGTTTTCAGGTCCATGTAGTATGAGGACCTTGCCCGATGTACTGCTTTGTGGCTCAGATCCCTCAGTCACTTTACTCGGTGTTCTTGATATCTTATTTTCCGTCAATTTCTCATTGTTCAACATCGAACCAGGTTTTTGGACAGCTTTTGACCCAACCAGGTTGTTGATGGCTTTACCTTTCTCAGTACTCACTTTTGAATTGTCTTTATTACTTTCTTCTTCTCCTTCACTAGACTCTTCCTCACTATCGTCGTCTTCCTCCTCACTATCGTCGTCATCTTCCTCCTCGCTTTCGTCATCGTCAACACCATCATCATCTCCATCCTCTTCGTCCTCCTCCTCTTCTTCCTCACTATCATTTTCTTCGTCATTATCCTCTTCATCCTCACTGATAAGATCTTTTTTCTGTAGTTCCATTCCCTTTTCAGTCGCCAGCTTCAGTTTCTATGGATTTAGTTGGAACAAAAATCGTTTGATCAGGTTATAAGGCTTATATACTCTGAAGCTTTTAAAAATCAGTTGATTTCGCTTGTGGCAAATCTGTGCCCCAATAAACTAGTTGAGATTTCGAACGACTGATCTCTATTTGTGGTAGGACAATTTGATTGCTGCCGGCTTACGTGAACTATCTGGCTGGTGCATTACCATGTTAAATTAAGTAAGAATATAAACTAGTATCGATTACTAGAAAGTCTAATATAGATCCTAATATGCATGAGATTGGAACTTGAGGTTCAGATGGAACACCATCCTTTCCATACATAAGTAAAAACTAATTCATATCTTCACCCAAATATCGGTCTCGGTCCAGCTTCACTAAACAGGAAACTTGATAGTCATTCATCACGAAGTAGGAAGACCGTAAGTACAAATAACAAAACTCAAGGTAAACGTTGATCATTGTTTGATCTTGTACCCATGTGAACGCCCACTTTGTCATAAATGAGTGTTTATATACACCCAGTGCATGTCACTGGTCGAATATAAGAGTAACTCACAATAACCCACAAACTTAGACTAGGCTTCCCACAAAAGGTCCATGAACCTATATGGACTCAGACTATACACACAGTACTGTAAACTCAGTAGACTCTAAGGCAGGCAGACAACTGGGACTTTATGAGAATATCCTCACATACTGAGTGAACTTCTGGTGTGTAACAAAACAAAAACAACTCGGCTATATGGAGTGAACATATTAGCTTATTTACCTTATGTGACATCCTTAGTTCACCAGCATCTCCACCCGACGCACCTGTCTCAACCTCTACATCACTCTCGTCGCTGCCGACAGGGACTGGACGCTTTGATCCACCTCTCAATGGAGTGCCTTTGCCGTTGACGAGATACTTGTTCTTTGATTCCGGAGTAGCACTAGGCTTTGGGGATTTAATTGTTGAATTATTTACTAAAACCAAACAATCCGGTAAGTAAATTCGAAAACAGAAAATGGGACGTAAACCAAAGAGTGTTACTTACACAACTGCTTCGAACGACCCTGAAAGATGAAAAAAACGTGCGTTAGTCATAAGAACAACGGAAACACACATAACCACTCATGAGCCCCATCCCACTCACCATGTTCAACTAACCACCGGACGTTGAATGTGAAACACACGCTTAAACACGTAACACATTAAAACTATTCATTGAGCTTTTAACAGCATATGTTAATAATCAACTGAGGACTGCGAAAAACCAGGGACGAAGCATGAGGGCTTACACCGAATTACTTCCTGTAAGAATATTATCGCTCACCAACAGATATACTACACATTCAGCCAGGTCAGCGTAAAAGATGACAGAACGTCAGCTAATCCTACCGAGTGTCGTACATTCAGTTTGTTGTTGATTGAATGAAGGCACCTCGCTGTTGTTGTATGGATACAATGTGCATTGTCAACTCCTTTCGCTGAGGGCCTGGTAACAAGGCGTCCATAAAGTGACGACGAGAACCCCGTGTTTGTGGACTTCTAGTAATTGGTATTGCACTCGATTCTGCCGGAGACCAAAGTTTGTGCTACTGTGGGAGAACTTACTATTCTCCCGAAGCTTATATGATAAATGTCGTGCTAATTTTTCGAAAATTGACGCGACTTGGACATCTTCCTGGATTCCTATTCAATCTATCTTTTTTCAAAGGGATAGAGGAAACGGTGAACTGATGACTTAGACCTGTAGTGGGATAATTCCACCAAATCCTAAGTCCTGCGTAATCAAAGGTAGCCGATGTTGAGGTAAGGGCATTTTATAGTATATAAAGCCGGAAAATCGTACGTTCTAACACTAACTCACTATCCCCTTCACCACAGATGTGGGACTATTCTCTTAGGGAGTGAAGAGCATCACTAGGCTCATAATCTTCTCTCAGAAAACCACAGCCCAAATTTCGTTAGCATCCAAAAGACCTGCTTATACCGCAATACCGACGTACGGCAAACCAGGTCAGCGATTTTAAGCACTCTCATATCTATCGGTTAGTCACATGTGTGATCAGAACTCTTGAAACACTATACTACTTGCGAACTCTATCTTCCCAATGAAGGTCGGTCGGCAAAACATAGACACCGCGTACATACCTTGTGGGAGAACATGCGCCATGACTTTGCGCTCATTTCGGTTCATCTGACACGACATCTAGGTACCCTAATTGTGTATTAGTGGCGGCCCTGGGTGACATTCTGGATAACTCAAAACTAGGACAGATGCACTAATTTGCCTGACTCCCGAGCCATATTACTTCGAAATTACAAGTGATTAGTTATAACTATCACAGTAAGTAGGCGGACAATTTCCAACCACTAATTATAACACTGTTGGTTTGTTCGCATTCGATGAGTTGCTCGAGAGAAACCAGTACACGACAAAATGAAATTCAGGTCAGTCATCATCTCGAAAGTCCTGATCAAACAAAATTACGTTTCATAAGCGAAGTTTGGTTAAGGCACTAAAACCCAACCCCACTTCCTTATATGTATATATATTTGGTTGGAATCGACTTATTCCAGCATAACCTCGACTCTATCCCGCTACTTTACACCTCACTGTGTTCTGTAAAAAACCGCGTATGAAGTGAAGTGTATATTAGACTACAACATTAATGAATTTCCAACATGAATATTTTAATGTTTAAAGTCATATGTACGTTAATAAAAGTATTTGCACGGCGCACCAGTAAGGAAATCCCTGAAAAATACCAGGATATTTAGTCCTCATCTGAAGAGGACGACTCCGAAGGGCTGGCATTTCCTGGACGGTGAATTACGGCTGATGTTATTCGGGGTCCTTTTGAGCTGCCGTACCCACGAACTGGCTCTCCTCTGGCTGGGCTGCGATCTCGTCTTTGATCTGTTCGTTCGAAGCGGTCATTTCTACCAAACTCGCGTGACCCGCCTCGATTAGCTGGAGCACCTTGGAAACGGTTTACATCTCTTTCGCCTCTGCCTGAATTGTAGTCGAACTGCCTACCTGAAACCAAAAAAAGAAAATAGTTACACTGCCTGTCATAATGGAACAACTAAACCAGTTAGTTGCCTGACAAAATAAACTTACCTTGTCTGTTGTAGTCACGTTGACCACTATAATCACGCTGATTGTACTCACGTTGATTGCCATCTCTCTGGTTACCGTTTTCACGCTGGTTGGTGTGATCTCGATTATTGAAATTACGCTGGTTGTAGTCGCGTTGATTACGTTGACCGTATTCTCTTTGGTCACGATTATAAGGGCGCTGATTGTTATAACTCGGTTGTTGATTGTGCTCCTGGTCTATAATGAACATCACATACAATGTATGGGCAATCCTTTACCTCTCTGGATTCGTCCACGTACAGGCCTACCGCCCATCATCTTATTTCCGCAGGAAGTAAGAGCGGCGCTGCACTGGTCGGAATTCGAGAAAGTCACGTGAGCAACACTACAAACAATTGAAAGTTCAAAAATAAAATTTACCCTCTGGAACGTCCCTGCTCGTCTAACGAAAGTGCCACTCGGAGGGCTTCTGGGAACTCGCGCATAATATCTCTTTCAGATGCTGTATAGGGAAGATTTGACACGGTGAGTGTACAAGAAGCGTTGGAAGAACTTTCACTATCAGTTCTACTATGCGGATCATATGTGGGCTGGCTGTACTCATTATCGGCATGTGAACGTCTGAAATCCCTGGAATTGCCTCCATAATGCTGGCTGACATTTAAATTTTCTGACGAACTGGAATGATAATCTGAAATATATAAACTGAGTGATTATTAAAGAGTTTTTGAAATAAGTCCAATGATTGTACGAGTTTTAATGACCAACTCACCTCCGTTGAGTTCCGCCTGCAGCAGCTGTCCACCAATTTCTTTTCCTTGAAGGCATTCATCGTAGGCTTGTTGACAGTCGCGAGCATTGTTGAATTGCAAGATGCACATGCTGTTTCACATATGAAACAGAAAAAGAGAGCAAATATGGAGCGATCAATGGGAAGTTTTTTTTTCTTTTCTGTACTCTGTATTTTCTTAGTTATTTTATACCTTCGAAATTAATTCCACATTTTTTATTTGCTGTCAGACGGGTTTTTGTTACTAGTATTACATCCGATTTGGATCGGTTTATCTGTTTAATTCGCTATAATTTCTTATTTAGCAAGTTTTTTTTGCGTTTTTTTAACTAATCCAAAGCTTATTGAAATTGTTTCGTCCTTCACCGATAGTGGTCTCGGTATCGTCTTCTTTTGAGATCCTATAGTTCGAAAATTTACAATCTTTAGGTTCTTTTCCTCAGTCTATGCACGCTTAGCGAGATGACTCCGAAGATATACTGAGGCATCAGCTGACTTAGTATCTGCTTTATCAACCCAATATATTGCTATACGAGTTTCATTTTCTGAGCCTTCACTCTCGTTGATTCTATAAGAAATAACCAACCTGTCACTATGACCAGTCTTTAGTTTCTCAGCTACTTCTGGGGGTCTGACCTTTCGTCAGAGACATTAGATCGTTTCATATTCTCCATCGTGTAGTTAAACAGACTAGTATCCTGTGGTTTCCTTGTAAAGCCTCTCATTACTTGAATGATGTTATCGTCGGTGTCAAGATGTCCTGGTCATTTAGTACCTGATATTACTATCACCCGTTACACCGCTCTAATCGAAGACCTTAAAGCCAGCTACATCATATGTCACGAATGGTGTTCATTTAATAGATAGTTGATTCATTTATACGTATATGGTATATGCCAAATAGTTATTGTAAAAGATACTGTGATAATTAGAAGTATTCGAATTATTGTGCCAACTGAGAATCTCTGAAATTGCGTAATTTTAGGCCGGCAGTGTTGTGACTTTAAGTGTGGCTATTTATTTATTTGCCAACCAAAATACGACTGACTCACTCTTTTACTGTACTAAACCGGTCTGATCGGTTTGGCGTCCTTATTGGTTATTTGCTCGCCTAGCCCGTTCAGCTGAGTCCAGAACATCAACAAAACCTCCCGCTATGTGAATCATTTATTTCAAACATACTTGATTCACATACCAACCAAACAAACCTCATCACAACATAAAATAGGAAATAAAGTTCATACACAATGAAGCTAAAATGTGGCTGTGAACGTGGGAGACAGTAATCAATAAACTGAGTATAACTTAAGAACAGTAAATCGTATAATAATAAATTATTTGTCAAAATGAAACTTATAACAAGGGGAATATAGATATACATAATTTAGTTACTGAATAGTTATGAAATAGGAATATATATCATATTGGTTCGTTAATAGTTCTCGGAAGTTACTCGTAATTTATTCTTCGCTAGGATATAACAGATAGAACTATATGAGCACATATCAACATATTATATTTGTAATTAATAATCAGCGGGCAATCAAGTACGAAGGAATAATTCGTTTGTACAAATACAACATCCGCCTCAGGTTAAATGAGAATCCAAATTTCTGCAATCGATTGTACTTCTCCTTAAATTCATCATATGTTTGTCTGATGTAGATTGTATGAACTAGAATGTTCTTATTAGTATTAGAATTAACAGACGAAATCGTAACATACTCATCTGGTTCCTGGTATTGTATTCACTCAACAGGTTGGTTGTATGTATTTAAATCATTGAAGATCATTTGAACAATACTATGCAGCTTCCGCAAACTCCAAACATAAAGAAAGAGAATCCTTCCTTTCAATAGCTTTTCAGTGGTCTCATTTTCTACAGAATGTTTGGCACTTCTATACTGCAGTAGAAATGTGTCTACTCCCTCATCAAATTCATCAAATCTTCAAGCAGCATTAAAATCAGCAAAGGTTTTTAATGTCCTATAGAAATATCTTTCACGACCATTAAAACAGGGGTGCCTGGAAACAGTGAACAGATTTTTTCACCCTATACTGTTGAACCAGGTTGTGATCGTGTCTGCAGCAAAATGAGAACCATATTCAGTCACTTATGCCACAAGTACCTCTTACCAACTAAAAAGGTCCCTAAATTCCTGATTTTGAAATTCAGAATTTGGTGAAGTTGACAAAAGACCTCAGCCGTCTTGAAAAAATCACTGGCTACAGGTGCACAGTATTTGCGAGAAATTGATCA